CTTCATGTGAATTTTGAAAAAATCAGGAGAAGTAAGCTATTATTAACAATAGAAAGTCTTTGTTTTCAAACTTTTTAGGCTTGATATAGTAGTTGACAAACTTTGTTTCTGGCTTTCTTTAATGGAAGACCAAGCTTGGTTCTCTATTTTACCTTCTTTCTCTCTGTCATGTTATTTCTTCTCCTCATCTAGCAGTAATCAACTCAGAAGTGAGATCTGACTCTAGTTTTGTGCAGATTCTACTAACAAATGCTTACTTACATTTGGTCTTACTCCTTTTACTGCCTCTGAAATTTTTTAACCTCTCCTGTGATTAAATGTATTTATTTATTTTCAAGGCAGAAGTGTTTATACCATGAGGAAATAATGAGGTAACTAGTGAGTTTTTAATCCTGTACTTTGAAAAATAAGGAACTTTGAAATTGAGATTTAAGCCTGACATCATCTCTTATACTTCAAAAGTTCAGGCTGAGGATAGGTTCTAGAAGGAAGATGAGGTTGCATAATTTTTATTTTATCTGTCAGGACAATAATGAACTGTGGCTGTGATTTCATATTATTTGAAAGACACACTTAACACACCATAATGTCCAAATTGATGCAGTGAGGAAACATTTCTTTCAGGCACTATAGATATTTCATAATTGAAAAAAAAACCACCCCAAAAGTAACCAAACCCACAAAAAAACCCTCACAAACCCACAAATATTTCTCATTGTGAAGTCAGAAACATAACTTTACATTTTATGGTTTTCAAGCATAAGTTTTTTTAGTTACTGGACATGAGAAGTGAATCAATTATGGTTTGGAAATAAATATAGGTTTGTATTGGTATTTTGATATTAAAAGGAATGTAGCTAGAGAAGTATAAATAGGAAAAATGACCACATAACTTGTAACAGGAAGTAAATAATTTGCATTGTTTGTCTCTTCAGGACTTTTTTTGGCTGGTTTTAGTTATGACACATATATAGAATATGATGTTTGGAAACAACAGAAAACAAAAATATAGCATATTGTTTAATATTGTTATGTCTTATAGCTGTGGAAAAAATAAATAGAATGATCTTAAGCTGTGCACTGAGAAGTCATGAAATCACTATCTTTAATTTTCAGTTCTAAAACAATAATTTTCTTAACTTGATCACAGAGACCATGATCAGACCCAGATTGTGGAATTATAATAATCTGCATCCATTGTAATAGTCTGTTTGGGTCTCTCAAATTTACAGCACAATGTGCTCTGTAAATTAAATTCCATTTTGTGACCTCATTTGAAAAAAAAACAACTAAAACTGAAGGAAATAAATCTCTCCCCCCCAAAAAACCTATTAAAATACACAAATGTCCAACAGTGGCTGAATCATCTTTGTACATACTAGTCCAACATGTGAATTCAGAAATTCATTATTTTATTAATTCATAAATTCTCTAACTCACAAGTTCTCTAATACATAACTTATATATGAGCAAAATACCAAGATGCTGATGAGAGTGCTTATTTGTCATCCCCCATCACGCATGGATGCCCCCTGTATCACACTGGCAAACTCAAAAGCCTCATCAGTCTGGCTGCTGTTGGATCTGCTTCAAAAAATTAGGTGTAAGCTGAGATATTTCTATTTTTAAGCTCAGAAATTTGATTTAGAGCATTTCCAAGAGTTCACCGATTCTGAATAAACTGCTAGACAGCTACTTTGCAAAGATGCAGGAGATGCTGGCTGCAGGTGATAGCATCCCTTTTCTTTTCCTGTTCCTTGTGTCCTATGTATGTGTTGCTCTTGCTTTGGTCTGATGGCAATGCTCTCAGCATATATCAGGCTTTAGCATGAGCTGCATGTTTATCATTAAAATATTTTTACTTTACTCTTTCCTCTAAACATTTCCCAGGTTCCCCTAGCCTCAGTTTCTTCTAATACTGTCAAATTATTTGCTAGGGTTTCAATATCAAATGAATTCTTTTTTTAATACCAATTTCATCCAGCAGAATTTGAATAATACCTCAATAAGCATTCCTCTGGAACTGTGAGATTCTGACAATTGGAGGCACTTTCATAATAGTCAATATATTTGTATTATTTTTATGTCTTTTTTCCTTTCAAGAAAAATATTTTAGTCTATTTCTTTTAAAACAGATGCAAGAACAAGTCTTTGTTGTTCATAGCTAAACCGGAATGCCTATTGCTTATTTTAATCAGTTGCTCTACAGCTCTGTAACAACAGATTTGCTCTTCAGACATAGGCATAGACGTATGTATCCAGTATTAAACTAGCTGCATAAGAATATCCACCCTTAATTCTACTAGCCTTGTGTTTTAACACTCACAGGAAGCTATTACTCTTCAGATAAAATGAAAATACTTGTGAAAAATACCTGCAGAAACTTGAACTTTACATTAAAATGTCCAAGTCTAGACATCTAGTATTTTTATACATAATAAGAATAAAAAGAAGTTGGGAAATGCATTACAGTGATGTGTGGCAGTTCATTTGCTTTTGTCACCCGTGGTCTTAGAGGCTCACTAACCTGACAGCGAGGGTCACCATAATGGATCAGCATGATACATCGTAGTTGTTTGCCAGGAAAGGAAGTTTGCAGGCAAAACCACACAAGCCTTTTCTCCATGGGAGAGCAAGTCTGCTCTAGTCTTCACTGAAATGCATTCTCTTTTTTCAGTTGCATACAGTATTCTCACAAAAGTCAAACACAGCATTTTAAATATAATCTTGAATACTACATATATACTTTGTTTTGTTCCCAAACTCTTGACTGGTAAGATATCATTCTACCTCTTGCAGGATTATAGGAGATTCATAAAAAGCTGTTCTGAGTAGATTTTCTGAATTTAAGACACATTCAGATATCTCCTCTTCTTCACTATGGTGGGCTAAGACAATACTAATGTTTCCTGAGGACAAACAATTTATTCTCTTTTTTGTTTTAATTTTAGGTGCAGAGTTAGCATCACGTATCTATGATAAAAAGTCCAGGCAAAGGTCAGCATATCAAAAAATGATTTGAAGCCTGCTAGGCTACTGTACAAGCCTACCTCAAATATAACAGCTTTAAGTTTGATCTGATTAGTGGTGTTCCAGCCTCAAGACCAATAGAGCCACGCAGTTGTGGGGGGCCAAGAAATCATGGCCAGTGAATGAGATCACCCTTTTTGGCAGTAGTTTGCAGTAAAATTACCTCAAATCAGTAATGAAACCACAGCAACAGGTGATTCCAATTCATGAAGATTTTTGTTCTCTTCTCAGGTCTTTTGAAGTTTCGGACAAAGAAAATTATTTCCATTCTTATTTCTCCAACTTTTAAGATTTGTAAACTGTACACTCCCCAGGTTCTGCCATATTTCAGTGAATATGCAAAGCTACTAGCAAAATCCATTTATAAAACCTACTGAACATAGTAATGAATGTCTCCGCAGGCATCTACTAGTCTGGGATAGAAACAAAAAATGTGAGAAAAAGTTATTGTACTATTTAAAACCCCCCAAAACCTCAACTATTGCATTATATACTTAAAGTTTACAGTGGCTTGGTTTTGCTTTGTTTTAATTAAATCTGTAGGAAACAAAAGGCATTATCACAAACCAGAAGTTAAATTAACAACTTATTGTGAAAGTTAAATATTGTGTTATTTTGGCTCTATTTTTCCTCATACAAAATTCTGGGTCTTAATATCTTAGTATTTTGGATAAATTTTATTCAAATTGAAATTCTGGATGTAGGTCAGGCAACAAGAAGGGGGTTGGTGGTGATACACCATTGATCATGGAGTCTTTTACTGTCTTTTTCCTGCTCTCATATCCATACTTGATGACAGTAGTTCTGCATAAGATTCTAACAAATGGCAAATAAATGTCCTGGAAAGCACAGAATAGTTGAAAACAGCTAGGAAACAGGAACAAAAAAATGTGTAAAAAATTCTATTCAGCTGAAATGAAACATGACTGAATCATAATGCCAAGACTACCCTTCAGAATTTTGTTTTCTGCATTGGCCTTCCACATTTCAGACACAGGTTTTAACACTAACATTAACATGATTTTTTTACAGATGGATGTAGGAATGTAAGAACATTCTTTTTTCGGGTTTTTTTTTTTTTTAGCCTAAAATATGTAGTCTTCTACTGATACAGCAACATTTCTAGTCTTTTGGGGGTTTTGGTTCTTTTTACGAAACAAGGAGACAAGAGTGACTAGTCTCTACAGACTGTCCACAACAGCATTTTCTCAGCTCTGAGGTGGAAAAGCAATTTCTGAGGCATTGATTTACTTCTGGGCCAAATAAGTAATAGCAGATACATAATGAAAAGGAATGCAGCAAGGTTTATTTGCAGTCATGTCATCATGAGGGGCACTATACAATACAGTAGGATAGTACTACCTTTTCAAGAATATTAGAAGAATATAGTTCCTGGAGAACATCGAGAATGTATACATCAAAATAAAGTCCCTAGTAAAAAGATTGTGTTTTTTTTCTCATGCATTAAAGAAAATCCAAAGGTCAGGGGTTTTGTGATTTTATTTTTTTTTCTCCCCTTAGGTAAGCAAATTATAAAGTAAGTTTTGCTTAGTATGAAGTTCCACAGTTTGGGAACGAAAGCAAGTGAATCTGTGGTTGTAGATTATACAAATACTTCTCTCTTACTAGACATTTAAAATATATATTAATTTCATCTTGTCTTGCAGGAAGATGCTTTTGTCTGGTTTGTCTAGACTCAAAAATTTTTGAGACCACTATGATTATTTAATGGCACTTCTTTTGCTAGCAATTCCTTATCAAATAATAGGTATGTCTGTTTATACTGTACTCAGAAAGTGTACATAAAATGTATTTAATAGCTCTTTCTTGTTGATGAAGCATATTTCTAAAACATCAACAGCATTATTAAGAATATCTCATTATTAACAGTAAAATAAACTACTGTTTAAGGTTATTAATATAATTTAATTGAGGAAAGCTAAATTATTTATCTTTGTCTTTTTTTTTAGGAGTGGAATTGGATGATTAATCAAAACATTAATTTAGGCTCAGTTCAGAAACTAATGGAAGAAATGCAGGTTTTTGAGACCCAACCAAGGCAACCTTATGAATTGGCTGAAGGCTGCCAACCAGATGGCCATTTGTGTAATTCAAATCTGCCATCTCAAAGTTTCTACCCATATTCATCTTATTATCCATACATGCGTGCAAATTACAGCAGTGACTGGGAAATTTCTGAAGCAGTAAAAATTCAGGAACTGGAAGAAGTCAAAGCCAGAGCTGCCCAAATGGAGAAGACCATGCGCTGGTGGTCAGATTGTACTGCTAACTGGAGGGAGAAATGGAGCAAAGTTAGAGGAGAAAGAAATGAAGCCCAAGAGGAAGCAAGACAATTGAGAATCAAATTAGACAATGTTGTAAAAGAACTGAGTATGCTTAGAAAAATAAATCAAGATTTAGTAAGTGAGAAGAAAAATTTAGAAGATGCAACTGCTTGGAAAACAGAATTCAGTTGCTCAGAAATATCTTATATTAAAAAAGACCTAAACCAGCTCACATTTCTGGAACGAGAACCTGTGAATGAGCTGAGCAAAATTAACAAGATTCCTGGAATAGAAGACACAAAGGTAAAGAATGGGGAATTGGTTTAGGTCTTGAAAAAGCAAGAGATGGTAGAGTACACCTAGAAATTTTCTAGGATGTTTCAAGGATTTTCCCCAAACACTACCTGAACCCTTGAACAGCAAAAACACTTTTTTTTCACCCATCTATTATTTCTAATATTCCTAATATAGAGAAGTACAGAAAACAATTCATACCTTTCACCTATGGCTAAACATTTAGGTAACAGGGGCAAACTGTTACATCCAATAACTTGTTCTGACTCTTGTGTTTTAAGATAACATTACCTCTGTTATCTTTATTTTCCATGTTTTGTGGTTTGCTTTTCTTTTTTCCTCAAAAAAAAAATCAATGTAGATTCTTGGCTTCTAAAATAAAATAATTTAATTCGCCTTTAATGCAACTTCTAAAATGTGAGAAGAGGTGAGGCAAATCCTTCTGCAAATTCACAAGATTTTTTGCTTGGTAAGGAGAGCAATTATGTTGTTATGCAGAATTAAACAATCAAGTATGGGCATGGTTTAATTACAGCTCCAAGTTCTATATAAAAGAAACTGCTACATTCAACAAAATGGAACTATTTTTCATGTTATACCAGTTTTATTACTTTGCCTTGGCATGAATTGCATAGTCCTCATAGAAAGTGCTATGTAAAAACTATACTTGCTATTTTTCTGACTGATAGCAGTCATTGTAGTAAGAAATAACAATTTTTTTACTTCAGTTCAATGGAAACTTTCAAGATCTTAGGCCTGAATATATTATGTCCAGAATTTTCTCTTTTCTCTCATTCTGTAATGCATACAAATTACATTATATTCTCTTGAATTCTGAAAAAAAAAAAAAAACAAACCCACAACCAAGCCACACCATGGTGTTGTTAATAAGAAGAAATTTGGAAAAATAAAAGCATGAATTTCATATTTTTGGGCAGATAAACATGCCATAACAGGATTCCTTGAAGGAAATGACACAAAATATATTTTAGCTGTTACACTTTCTGCTTAGTATAAAATAAGGCACTACTTGAAAACTGAAACTTTATATATGAATGGGAAACAGTCTTTTCAACAGTTTCTAATATTTTCTGATGTAGATTACAAGCATTTTAAAACCTCAGGAAAACAGAGTGATATGAAATAGCACTGGTGGTAATCTACTAAAGCTTTAAAAATTTCAGCAGAAGTGATAAAACTTTAATACTTTAAAAAAGTATACTACTGTTTTTAAGAGATGTTCAGTCTTCCTCACAAATATGTATTTTACTTTTTAATGTTTGTTTCCTAATTGTTATTATCTTTGCTTATGTTTTGTATTCAAAACATGTATGTCTTCAAAATAAACATTATAGTGCTTTTAGTTTCTGAATGGGATCTAATTGCTATGTTATGCAGGTAACTTTGCTCCTGCTGTGAAACTTATATACGTCTGTCAACTGCTTCAACATGATTTCCACTGGAAGTATGAGTCCTTACACAGAGTTTCTCAATATATTATTTGTATGCATAAATTGCATTCCTGATTTTGTTAGTTCCAGGATTCTGTCTTCAACATAGTTATAGCTAATTAATGATAATTGGAATTAATTTCTTTAGTAAAGATGCATTAGAAATATTTTGGATATGAAGCCTGTCATTACAGAATGTGTGAGAATCACAGAGTGAAAATGATTCAACTGCAGTGACTTTTTTTGCACATTCTATCCATATGCAACTGTATAGGATGTTACTTATTTCCTTTTTCTTACATGACTTAAATGTCTAGAAAAGTCTTGGTAGTCCCTGCAAAAGTTATGCAAGTCTTTTCCTTTCATTTATGTTTTTCTCAGATGTCATATTTTTGTTTTCTCAGGATGTATTCAAAGACCCAAGTAATCACAATCAAAAAATTGCTCCAAAGCCTCACGATTCCTTTCCCAGTGTCATTCCCAGCACTTATTTGGAGGAACATAAAAAAAGTTTGGACAGTACAGCTGAGACAACAGAGAATGATTTAATACATGTTTCAGTCTTGCATTTGCAGTTGGCTGAAATGCAGAAAATCTTGCAGAAGGAAAGAGAGTAAGTGCAAAATATATCATACTTGGGATAATTCTATCAAAAATAAAGGTTTAAAAGACACTTTCTAAAATAGGTATGGCAATACTTTCATAGCTCATCTTTTCCATTTCTAAGCCTTATTAACTGTTATTTACGTGACTGATAATTTAGAAAGAAAATCCACCATAGTGTGTTTATGGATTTTCTTAGCTTTTCTGTTGTTTAAATAAGAAGTATTCCATATAGAGCTTTAAAGAATATGAATTTAATAAAAAATATATACTTACTGGAAATTTGGTATCAATACAGTGATATCTAATGTATATAGTTATTGGAGTCCTTTGTGCATAATAACGAATTTTCATACATTCTGCCATCAGACTGAAAGAGTCCAACTGCAGACTAACTAAAATGGTTTTGAATTAAAAATACATGAATACAGCTGCAAAATTCTGTTAAACTTAATTCTTCACTTGTAGTATGGTCTATGTCAAAAGCAGGTAACAGAGAGAGAATAACACACTTATTGTATGCTTATTGTATCATATCAAGTTTACTTCACATAAAGACTAAATGTTCATTTTTATGGACTAAAGAGATTATATGTTGATTGCACACTACATGCTAGAATGTGAGTCTGTTAGTAGAAATTCCATGCGATTTTGTATAGGCGATCAGTATTGAGGAAGATTGAATCACACCAAAAAAGACTTTCCAAGGAAACATGTGCTACATGATGTATGATGAATGTAGTAGGAGACTTCATGCACTATGTGACAGTAACTTCAAAATCAGCTGAAGTTAAACAGAAAATGAAAAAAGAAAACATTCCCTCTTTTGCAAATATGTTCAAGAGTTTTATTTTAGAGAGTCTGTCATGGGAAACTATGATAAAGAATTTCCTTCCTGTCAGGTTGGGTTTTTTTCTGCACAACTGTCCTGTAGGTAGTACAAGTCTGAGTAAACAAACAAAAATATTTTTAAAATCTGCTAAATTCCTAACTAGTGTTTACTGTGTTCTGCTATAGGAATTAGGTAGCTGTGGAAAACACACAATAATAGCATATTGCAGCAGATCACCAGAAGTATGTTCTATCTCATTAAAAAGGATTTAGATTTTTATGAAAGCAAAAATCCCAAAATGCCTATATTTTCCAGCTTGTCATGGTATTTTTTATATGTGAGTTAAGAGACTGATGCCTCACATACCCATTTTCTTCTAGTTGAAGTATTTAGAGTCCTAGGTACTTAATTTTTCAACAGCAGTCTCAGTATACATCCATGCATAATTTCTCAACTGTTATTTTTTTAATCCCTTCAATGGATTTTGCCATTTATGCCTAGATACATATTGACTGTGGTATATAATAATAAATTTACTGGCACATTGTAAGAACTGGGGCATGTCTACACCAGTGCCAACCCCTGGCAGCAAGTGCTCACAGAGCAGCGATTTCTGTATAACAGAGGGCATTGGTATAACAGCTCCCTCTCTAGGTCACTTTGGGTAATATCTCCTGTGCGCAAAGATGTTCTGTAAGCAGAATATATGCAACTTAAAAGTATGAAGCAATTATTTTGTGGCAATGGAGACAATAAATAGCTGGGAATAATGTTACAAGGATAAGTATTAACATAGTCACCAGTCTCTTGAGACTTTGGGTCTCAAGACTCACGAGTCTTTGTCGGACAGGTTGTCACCTGCCAGCTCAGGTTGGTCTCCACTCCTTGGTGGATTCAGATGATTTTGCTGAGTTTCCATCCTCAGATTCCTAGGTTTTCCTCTTAGTTTTAGACTTGTTCATGTCAGCTTTTCTGCTGCTGTATCCTGGAGCTGCTAATGATTGTTATCTCAACAATCTCACTCCTGTTTGCATTTTTTACTTATCTTGCATGGCTAAAACTTAAGTACTTTCTCACAGCTTCTTCCTTGCAACTTAGCAATTTTCCCATCAAACTTGAGCCAAGGACACACAGCTGTGCTGCATCAAAAGGAAACTTGGATCATTGACAGCTTGAACCCTAAGGCCGAAGGTTACCTTGGCAGTCAGTATGATCTTACTCATACAGCACAGTTCTCCGGTTTACATGCAGTACTCCCAAACTGGGGCCACATTCTTTCCATAATCGTTAGCTCATGCAGATCCAGTGTTTAGACTTGCTCCTAGTTACCTGACTAATGTCTCCATGAGATGTTTTGTTTCTTCACCCTGAGAGGACCTCTGCTTCATGCATTCTGTTTAGAGCTGTCTTTGGTAATGCCAATATTATCCTTCAGCCATAGATCAGGCTTTGCAAAAGAAAGGAGCACAAAAAAACCCCAAAACAACAAAAAAACTTCAAAGCTTATGTTTTGACTATCAAAGAACTTTATGGTTAGGTAAAATCACACATCAAAATCCTCTACTAAGCACACGGCTGATATCAAATGCACATTTGAGGTTTCATTGACCTTACTAGTTGCTCAGTATTTTAAAGAATCTTTTTCCTAAAATAGCTATCTTTAGTCATCTTTTGGATCAATGTTCTCATCTTAATGTCTTGTAGTTTCAAAATATTAATTTGTTCCCTTTTGAACTTTAAAGTATTTCTTTGCTTTAAAACCAAAACCTACCAACTACACCGGTGTTTGACCGTATCAAAGAGGAATTGCTTAGTGCTGCATGGGTAGGCTTAGCCAACGGACGCGAAAGGTGCTGCCTGAGCATCAATAAACACTTTTTTTCTGTGATGGTGACTTGGCACAGGTTATCTAGAGAGGCTGCCGAGTCTGCATTGTTGGAGACATTACAAAAGCCATCTGGATGTGGTCCTGAGCAACCAATTCTAGATGACCCTTCCTGAGCAGGGGGGTTTAGACCAGATGACCTCCAGAGGTCCCTTTCAACCTCAACCATTCTGTTTAATTCTGTAATTTAATAAGATAAGAAGGAGTTAAAATAGGTGGCTAGAAGATCCATTAGATATGCTCTGATCTTGATCTTTTGTTAAATAATGGTAGGCTGCTTCACTGATCTCTGCCTGCCAATAATATCTTTAGTAAAAAGGCTGATAAATCCCATTAGCCTCAGAATAGAAAATAACTACTGTGGCATACAGCAGTTTTTTTAGTTGCCAGGATTGTCAACATTTTTTCTTTTCTGGTATAGTAGCTCTTCATCCCTTCATTTTCACAAAATTTATATGTTGCAAATTTTTAATCTCCCAACATAATGGTACTTATGTGATTTTACTGTTTCTTGAATTTTAAATTTCTTCAGTGTCCTGACTTTGTTCCCATATTGATGTTTATCACCAACAGAACACTCCAGAATTTTTAACTGTGATATTATTTTATAAGAATATTAGAAATATAACTTGATATATATTATTTGCAATTAAGATTTTTCTCTTTAACTTTTAATTATGTTCCAAATTCTACTTTGTTGCCAAATTGCAAAATTAACCATATGCACTACACAAATGTAAAATTAAATTATTAAGGAATTCTATAATGTGAAATTACGAGAAGTTCATTCTTGTCTTTGGAACTTGGCTAATTGTGTTTGCTGTGAACACAGAAAGGAATTCTTAATTGGGCTCAAAGACAAGAACATCTGAAGTGCCTCTGCTGCTTCATATTTCTTTCATTATTTCCTGAATGATTGAAACTATTTTAATTGATTAGAAGGATAAGTATCAAAGTTCATTGTTTCAGTAATACGGTACTTTTCTCTGAGGAATCATCATTCATTCCTTGTGAATTGTTTATCCTAAATAATTTTGCTGAATGTAGTAATGGACTTCAAATAACATACCAGAGAAAATGCTGAATGAGGGTTTAGTGCCTCTGGGCTATATAATAAATTTTCCTAAAATTCTTCTAACATTTTCTTTCAAGAGTAATTATTTTTTGAGACATGAGTTACACACGTGTAAATTAGATCATCTTCAGTTTCAGTACTGTCTACATAGAATATATATATTCCCCCCAATGTGTGTGTCTAAAATAGCATTCTTCGTGTACCCAAATAAAATTGATACCAAACCTTTTCTCTGAGGATTTTCACTAAATCAGAATGTGTTAGGTGATCTGAATCACTAACTGAAGGGTGTTCCCAAATTTTCTTCAGCTTATCCCCAAATGTTATTTATTTTTAGTTTTTAATTCTGTACTGCTGGGATTCTTTGTTCTCTTTAGCTAATATTTTTGGTAAATCTCCTGTAATGATATGATGATAATACAGGCTTTTATTAAAAAGCAGATATACAGCTGACAAAGGCAGCAAAATGTAACTCAATCTGTGGGAAGCAATTTATTGTCAACCTCAAAAAGATGCAATGCTGACTTGTAAAATACTTTTTCAGAATGAATGCATTTCTGCAAAAAGAAATGGAAAAGATAGAAAATGAATTATATCTTTGGAAATGGAAATATGAAGAACTGCATCAAACCAAGCTGGAAAGCCTCAGACAGGTATGTTAGCAGTACATTGTTATCTCATTGAGTAAGAAACAAAATTGATACTTCTAATCTCCTGTGTTGTAACTAAGAGTAAAACCTTATCTAGGGTTTATGAATGTGATAAATCAACCATTTATCAATTATTTATCCATATAGCCTTGCAATAAGGAACCTGAAGAGGGTATATGGTCAAGCTGATTTGTCCTGATACACAGGATAATAGGTAAATGTGCCAGGAGACTGATTTAGCTTAGCAGAGAATTCTTGGTGGAGTTCTGATGATAGATGTCAATGTACTTTTATAAAGGACATCAAAAGAGTAATTTAGGAACATTACCTGGTTATGTAGGAATGGTTACTGGAAAAAAGAAGTGTTTATATCAATCCAAGTTCATCAGTAGAAGAAAAAGATATATTTGTGATGCAGCTTTCAGGACTAATTCTTCCAAAACAATGGGTTGAGGACCATGTAAATCCAACAAAACTCAAAATGTGTGTCTATATAACTAAATATAGATATAGAATTTAAAATTTCCTATAAATTTAACACCTCATTATATAAGAATATTAATTATCTTTCTTTTCACATTTTGGAAAATATTGCAGGCAGTCTATAAAATTCCAAGTTCTAGTTACCTGCTAACATATCCATGAATGGAATTTCTTTCACAGTTGAGCAGCCACAGAAACAAATTAACATCTATCTGTCATATTTGAGTTCCTTCAGATATTAGTTCTTTATTTTCTGCTTGCTCATTAAGCAGGATTTTAGCTTGACATACTTCTGCACAGCAGAGGAAGTCTAGATTTAGTTAATTAGTTTAAGAAATTTAGTCTTTATGTTTTATGTCACTGTCAGCAGGAATAGAACAAGTAAAAACTTACTGAGAATTGGTTGGAGACTGATGGATACCAATTTTTGTATATGTGCATGAACATACACATGTATATGCACTGTTTCTTTTTTCTTGGGAACATGTTGAATTGCCTTAATTGTTAACAGGAGGTGATATTTTGAGCATCCTTATGAGATTTATAAGGTATATATATATTTAGTGTATACACCTAGTTTTGAAATTACAGGAAAACATTGGTCTTGATGAATCTGACTAGTGTGAATGAAATAACTTGCATCTGTGCATTTCTTTCTAAGTGAAAATTCTTCCTTTATTGAAACAAACCCAAATGTTGTCTGTAGGTGAGGCATCCGTGAATGTCACTATATATTACTGTTGGAAGCTGGAACTCAATACAAGGTTTTTGACAGTCAAATATTTGCAAGTGAAATAAAGGAAAATCCAGATATGCTAGGCTAAGCATGGAATCTGATTTGTATACATACTTACAGTACTAAATCACAATGGAATTTTTAGTTTAATAATAGATTAATCATTACCTCTGGAGTATTTTCACATCCTTGACTAAGAGTTTTGGGTTCAGTTATGCATAAATTAGTCTGCTCTTTCCTTTGGTAGATCCTGACAGTCCCATTGTGAATGTGGAAAAAATGCTTGGTTTGCAAGTGACAGCAACAGTGAAAATTCAAGCATTTGTAGGGATGGTTAGCTCTGCTAGCCTGTTGGAATTCTGAGAGATTTTATGTAATGTTAAAAGCTTCGCAGCCACTTAAATTGAAGTACTAATGCTCTTTCTGTTAAAAGATTTTTGTTAAAAGAGTATGCATCTCAAACAAACTAAATATGGAAAGTCTCTGTGACCTTGATGATCATATTTTTAAAAAATTAAGCATTCTAGATAACTTCAGAAATTGTAGGTAAGTTTTTAATGTATTAACTAAAAAAAAAGTAGTAAAATGGCAAGTCTTCCTCAACATTTTATATCTGTCTTTATCATTTTTAAAAGGCATGCTTCTCTGATGGCTTAAAAGTTAAATAAGATGAAATATTTACAAGGAGATTCTACATTATACTGAAAACAATGAAAACATGCATATACTGCTATACTCCACTTGTGTGCGCTGTAGACTTACAAATGCCCCTATAGGCGGTGACTTCCGTGTTTAAGAATTTTCTGCTAGCTGAATTACAGAATGTTCCCTTACTCTACATTGTCTAGCTTGTTGGCAACTGATGAGGGATATTCATATCCCAGTTTGTGGAATGTGAGGGAAAATTAAACTAGTAGGTACTTAAAGCCTATTGGAACCTCAATATCAAAAGAAGTATCCTTAGATAACTATTCTATCATTCTATGATTCTATGATAGACGAAAAGGGGACACAGGCTAAGTTAACATTTTATATCTTAGGCAGAGACATTTCTGTTCTTCCTATTTTCTGTCTCTGTCCATAGATGTTTTACACTGTATATTATGGCAACCCACTTAAGTGCGCTACTTTCTTTAAAGGAAGGGTAATGGTTCCCTTCCTGTTTTTTCCCAGGTGGTGGAAACTTCACTAAGGTTAGTGAGGATTCTGGATAAATCAAGTTTTCTATTCTCACTGTAGGCATTGAGATGCTGTTTAAACCAGAACAGCCTTTTTGGAGACTTGGGTTGTTAGCAGCTAGTTCTTGTTAAAGATTTCCACCTTTTCCAGAAATCTGTATTATGAAATTAGCTTATAGCGTGACAGTGCTGCAGAGGTGCTTACCTATAATACCTATTTTCATTCACCTAGTATATGCATGGATTGGAAACAGTGATACTCTGATGATCTCACAGGAAATTTAGATACGTGTATTAAGACCACATATTTTGTCCCATGCACTTTGCTTGATTGTTCCCTGAATCCTGCAGAAAACGTAATTATTATCAGACACAAAACAGTAGCCTTAATGGTTGTACTGACTACTGTAAGTTGTTCTGTTTAATTCTCATCTAAGATGCAGAGAAATACAGCATAGATATCACAGGAATAAAATGAGGTACCCAAAATTAAATTTCTGATGATCTTACATACTACAGAATAGCCAGTAGTGGTTTAGTGGTCTAAAAGGAGTCTTTATAAAGTCTGATATCAGAATCCTCAAGGCTGAGTTTAGAATATCATTAGGCACTTTTCTGAGAACAATGCCTGAACTATTTGAGAACTCACATGACCTTATAGAGTGAAAATTCTGTGCATTCTTATTATTTTCAGACTAGATCCAGAGTTTTCCTTACTGAGCTTAGTCCTTCATTTTTTAAAATGACTTGTGTGATTTTCAGACTGAGTAAAATGTGATGATGATGTCCCAACACCTCTGATTTGTGGTTTGATAAAAGGACTTAAAAAAATTACTCTGGATATACACATTTATTTTTTCTGACTAAATTACAATAGTTTATAGGTAGGTAGTTTGAGAGTAAGGGGAGAATCCTGGACCGTGGCTTAAGCACAAATTCTTGTGCAGCCTTAATTATTCTTTCCACTGTATTCATAAATCAGGTACCAGATTGTACTTAGTGTTATCTCTAGAAATTATGTACTTAACCTGAATGTTTTTACTGCCCATCATTAAGTATATTTTGTGATAGGGCATAATCATAGAAACATAGAAGGTTGGAAGGGACCTCAAAGATCATCTGGTCCAGCCTTTCTTGGCAAAAGCAGTTTAGACAAGATGGCCCAGAACCATGTCCATCAGGATCTTAAAAGTGACCATTTTCAAGATTCCAATTGACTGCCTATTTTCCAACAATTTCTGGAATTTGGAAAGTGCTGGGAAAATCTATTGTTTCATAGATTTTCTTTTTTTTTTTTTTTTCCCCCATACTGGCTACTAACAAGATATTTAAACTGTGTTGAGTTCTACTTGCCAATATTTCCTGGGTCTTCATTACATGCTTAGGAATACAAACACAAACCAAGGACATTCTGTGACAACTGAAAGATGACAACCTCATATTATTTCTGTGGAGGCAATATGTTTAGAAGAAACTTATGTGCATATTGAAACCTACACTGATTTTCTGTGAACTGAATACTATGCTAAAGAGGCATAATGTGTAGAGGTTTGTTTGCTTTTGTCCTAGAGGCTAGCATTATATTTTTAATGAAGCCCATTTTTCATAGCTTAGACTGAGAAGTCCAAAATGATGACAAAGTTACTTCTTAATACTGTATTAGTGTGGTCCTTTTACCATGTAGTTCTGTATAGATATGCTCTTGTTCAAGTGTTACTTTATTTATCCAGGATCCTTTGTACTTTCAAAGAGTTTGCACTGTGGACTCGAGCAGGACTGTTAGGAATCGCTGCCTATGCTAGTCGAAAGTCTATACAGCCTTGTGAAATCCATTGCTGTGTAATAATATAGAGTTTCATGTTCACTATCTGGTAAATAGCTTAACTAATTTTTTACATGCCTTTGAAGCAAAAACGTGTGAGGAACTGGAATGAGGTTTCTTGGGTTTAAAGGATCTTATAATATTCTATGAAATAAAGAATATGCCTGAATATTTAGTGTTACAACTAAAGTAGCTTCATGCCTGTCATCTGTGTTACAGTTATATTGATACAACTTTCAGGATGGTTAGGTAATTTGCTTCCTAACTTATGTACATGGAGTAAAAATTCATATTTATTGTTTTATTGTCACTGCTGAAATTGAATTTTCTTTTTGACTTAGCTGTAGCATATATAACAGAACCGCACTGCTTCCGGAACAAAGAGGTAGTACTTCCATAAGAGGTAGAAAAGGAAGAAAACCAGATATGCTGGAGTTTTGTTGTTGTTCCCCCCCCCCCCCCTTGTTTTTCTATTTAAAAGGTAATAGAAATTTTCCTCTTTGGTCTTCACATGTAAAGAGAGCTGTCTTGCACTGAAGACTAAGTAAGTGCCTCTGCACTGAAGCATTATATTTTCAGATAACTTTGAAAAAAAGGATTAAATCTTAAAATAATGAGTGTTCTGTTTGGATACAGTCACAAAACTTGTTTTGTTTGTATCAGTGAAATGCTGCATATTTCCTTGAGCAGCAGCATGAGTGATGTCACTGAAGTCAATGGTAAATCTGCTGATTTCAATTATCAGTTCCTGATTTGAAAGGTCTAGTAACACCTAAAATTTCTT